TTGCTGCCTGATGCTTGCCTCTCCGTTGTGAACAGCCCAATGGCGATCATAGCAAAGCTCGCAGCTCTTGCTCCGACAAACGAAACCTCCGCAAACCTCCCGAAGGGCAACGAAGGTCAGGGAAGTCGGAGAGGCACCGACAAAGGCCTAGATCTGTTCACATCTTTACGTCTGTGTGCGGTTCAGACCCAACGGTGGCACAGAGGAGGGGAAATGGACAGATCTGTCGCCCCATGTCCGGAGCGTGCCATCCTCAACAGCTTCCACAGACCGGCCGTCATCCTCTGTGAGAGCCTCAACCCACAGAAGCAAGAGATCACCACAACGAAGGAGAGCACGGCTCAGCTCAAGACCAACCACCGCATCGCTGACACTCCGCCGACCTCCGGCAAGGACGTGCTGCTGCTGAACGTGGGCGGCACTGAGCGGCGGGTGAGGCGACAGCACCTAACGGAGGGGGAGGGGGTGGAGGGCACTGCGCTGGCCCTGCTCTTCTCTGGCAAGTTCGACGAGCGGTTTGTTCGCGACGGGAAGAAGCGCATCTTTCTCGACATGGATTGTCCCGCCTTCGACGTCATTCTCCAGGGCATACTGGAGGCGAGGGCCCTCCAGCAGGCGACTAGCGAGGGCGGTCGGGACAGAAACGCGGTCTCCCGCCTGTTGACTGAGGCCGACAAGCGCCAACACAAAGGTACGATGGACAGCCAGATTGCTCTTATGTACTCCCCGTCACCTGTCTGTGTGTCTGTCTGTGTGTCCCTGTTTGTAGAATTGCATGAGTTCTGGATCAAGAAGCTGCTCTCGCCGGTCCACAAGACACCCGACGGTGACGATACCGCTCAGCTGGCCGGCAGGGAGCAGTCGGTGACGGCAGAGGGCATCCCCGAGGCAGCCAAGGGTCTCATCACAGCGCTGAACACCGTCCTCAAGGCCCATGCTGAAAGGAAGCGACTGCTCGAGGAGGAGCTGCACACAGAGAAGACACGATACGATAAACTCATGACCGAAATCGAGGTCAGCGACAGCAGTTACTCACGCGGGAGGCAGCTCATAGGATCCATCTGTGTGTCTGTATTGCCAGGCTGTGAGTTCATTCCTGGCGCCCATTGGTGGCGATGACCCCGTTCGCTCTGTCGATGTCTGCGGAGAAGTCCTCTCGACGTGTCAGTCGACCATCGACGCGATGCCGGAGGATATGGCCCTCAAGCGACGTAACAGTGCATCCGTGTGAGTGATGAGATCACATAACAAAACCGGCAACGAGAAAATCGGAGACGGATGCACTTGACGTGCTTTGTGTCAATCCATCACAGGTGGGGCGGCTCAGTCCACGACGTGCCCCCCGACCACATGAGCCGCCTCATCGACCACCACCGCCGCAAACGACACGGCGCCTCACCTGAAGAAGCCAGTGTGCCGCTGCAGCTGACAGACGAGCGGGCGCAGAGGGCCTTTGAAGTCAACGCGGCCATGTACGGCGTCATCAGGTCTGCAGATGGAGAGCAGCGCAGCAAGGCTGGCCTCGCCGTCCATCTGTCTTGTTTGTTCCCTTTGTGCAGTGGTGATGGCTTCATTGAGATGCCGTCTGGTGCTCGGTATCGCATCGTCACGGACGGCACCGGCAGAGTGCCGACAAATTACAACCGCGTCAAAACCGACGAGATCCGGTGGTTTGATGGATTCGACGGCCGAGACAAACGCTACGATCACCCTGGGGAGGTCAGTCGTGTGTCTCTTATGTATGAGTGGGAGCGTGAGGCGGTGGTGTCGATGCGGGACGGGGAAGTCAGGCAGATCATACTGCCAGACAGTCGTTTTGGTGCCCCCTACGTTGAGCTGCGTTTGGTCAGCATAGAGTAGGAGAGTCCACACACACACACACACACGTGGGGGCTGTGTCTGTCACACACTCATTTGTGTGGCCGGGGGCTCTTCCCTCGTCTCCTGGCTGACTGTGTCCCTCTGTTCTGAGTGAGGGAGTGAGTGTCTTGTCTGACGCGGCCTGTGCGCCAGAGAGTCTAAGTGTTTATGTCTTGGTGTGAGGACACATAGGCGTAGGCCGGCTTCTCTCCTGACCTGGCTGTTCCCCTTTATTATGCCCGTGGTGTCTGTGTGTGTGTGGTCCGTCTGTGGCATCTATGGCTGTCTTGTCCTCGTTCGTGTGTGTGTGTGTGTGTGCGTACATCCCTGCATTACTTGATTCAGCATGTGAGCGGTATCTTGTGGTGTCTTGTGGTGTGGACGTGCGAACTGTGTGTACTCTGCTAATAAATTCGTCCTTCTCTCATTAAGGATGATTCACGTGACCAGCAGCGTCAATCAGTAGGCTGTCCACTCACTGCAGTCGCACAGCAGCACACCGAAAAACACACAGTGACATCGCAGACACCGAGAAACCCATCAGGTAGGCAATGAAGGCAAAAAAACCCATCCATCGATCCATCGATTTTTGCATGTCTCCCCGATGCATGCAGGCACCCAGGGTTTCCCCTACTGGTCGTCCGACGCCCTGACCTTCGCCGCAGTGCTGCTCGCCATCTCAAGGGCCGACAACATCATGCCCACGGCCGCACGAGACGCCAGCAACGAGCCCATTCTCTACACATGACTCCATCCATGAGTGGTGCTCATGTGTGTGTGTACAAAGCGCCGATTTGTGTGTGCAGGGGGGTGGGGAGAGAGGTGGGCAGTTTTCCGACTGATGCCCTCGTGTGTTAGGCAGTGAGCGCTGTGATTGACAGTTTTCGTTCGTCTGGTCTCATTGCGCAGCAGTGAGTGAGCGGACGATCAACCTTCAGCTGGAAGCCTGATTGTCTCGCAGACGGACAGACACGCCACACAGACAGAGTTCACTTCATAAAATCAGATAAAGCAACAAAAGAGCCCCACACACGGTGAGAGAAAAATCGTCTCGACGGGCACAGAGTCATCAACGGCTGACAGAAAATGTCCCATGATGCAGCAGAGACACACAACGGAGCCCACATGAGTGTCGCCGCCATTCAGCGACCGACCGACCACCCCATCCATCTGCAAAGCATTCGCCATGGATGCCCTGATGCACACTGCAGGTAGAATAAAGCCAGGCAGACACTGACGTGATGCGGACCCCCCTGCCCTCCCAACACAGCAACGAGAGAGCCCCACACTCCGATGCAGCAAAGAAGGGTGGGCATACGGTGAGAGAAGAACCGGCTCGACACAGCACGATAGGCGAGATCAGCCCGACCTACAATCAGCATCTGACAGCTGACAGTGTGCACCAAAAGGCCGACCGACCATTCGCCATGGATGCACTGAATGGCTGTGCATGCAGGGAGACACACAGCGACATGACACCCAGCAGTCAACACACTCGTCCACAGAAAATCAATAAAACCACCACAACAGGCCACGCAAAGCACACTCACTCCTCCACTCGTCGCAGGCAGGCAGACAGACACACAGTGAGGGGAAGAGAGACTGCCAGACGGAACATCAACGCCGGATAAAACCCTAACACCCTGTACGGCCAGAAATCTCAACTCACTCACTCCATCGCTCAGCACCGAGGCACACAGTCAGCCAGGCAATGAGGAAAGAGCCCCCGGCCGCACACATGAGTGGGTGGCACACAGCCACCCCCCCGTGTGTGTGTGTGGACTCTCTCCTACTCTATGCTGATCAAACGCAGCTGGGAGTAGCGGCCATAATATCTGGGTGGCAGGATGATTTGCCTCGTCTCACCCTCCCTCATCTCCAGCAATGCCCCACGCTCCCAGGCAAACGGAAGATTAGACACACGATCCACGTCACGGTAATCGTCGCGTTTGTCCCGGCCGTCGAATGCGTCATACCACCAGGTGACGTCCAACTTGACGCGGTCGTTGGCTGTGGGCACTCTGTCGGTGCCCTCCGTGACGATGCGATACCGATTGCCCAATGGGGTCACAGTGAAGCCATTGGCGGTCTGCTGCAGTGGCAATGACGAGCCCTCCTGCCGCTGACGCAGTGTGGCGCCGCCGCCATTGGCCACACCCACACTGACCAACACACACACACACACACACAGACAGAGAGAGAGGGAGAGCAGCATCTTCACGCACAACGGTTGTCGTGACGGTGTCGGCTCTCACGTTTGGTCCACGGCGGGCTGTTGGCCAGGGAGCCGTCCAGGCGGCAGCAGGTCGAAGTAGCGCCGCTGGCCGCCCTCCTTGGTGTAGAACTGACCCGCCAGGACGGAAGTGTCCTCGTACACGAAGCCGTCGCCCAGACGCGTCTTGCCGACGACCCGCTCATTGCCGACCCTGACAAACACACACACAGGCCATCCACAGCGATGGTGTGAGTGACAGAGTTTGCTTCTCACCGGTTTCGAGGCCGCTCTCCGATGGGCAGCAGCTTGGGCGGGTTGGTGCTCAAGTCGAAGAAGCGGACCCCTTTGTCATCATCGCCCAGCAGCACCTCCATCGGCCGCCCGTCGGGGCCTGCGCCGATGACGTCGAACGACAGCTCCCCCGGCCTGTCGAGGGACTCGTCGACCTTCCCGTCGCCCCACACAGTGAGGCCGACCAGCCTGCGGCCACCTGGTGCCATCCTCTGCAGACAACAAACACACACAGAGCGAGGGATTCATCATCTCATCTTTTGCATTCGTTTTTCCGGAAGATCTGTGATAGTGTGCTCACCAGTGGCCCTTTGCTGCCTGATGCTTGCCTCTCCGTTGTGAACAGCCCAATGGCGATCATAGCAAAGCTCGCAGCTCTTGCTCC